AGAGAGAGAGAGAGAGAGAATAAATCTGAAAATACTGAAATAATTAAGATATTTAATACTCAAACGTTTTGAAAAGTAGTTAACTTACACTACATAGATTGTTTGCCAAAAAAGAATTTGACCACTACAATATAGGGTACATGCAATACAGTACATATAAATGTACATGTACAATGTATATATTATACTGTAACTACTATTATTTGTCAAATTTATGATGGTTCTCAAATCTCTGACTGATATATTGTACACTAACTGAAAGGTTTTGCTTTAAAATTTATAAAAGAAATATTATTTTCTAATTCTAATTATTGATACGAAGTATGCATTAAATATAACACATAATGTCATCACTTGAGTGCCACCGACTTTGAAAATAATTTGCCTCCAAAATGAGTTTAAGAGCAGAGAGTTGTGTAACTTCTTGGGTGGTCTTGGATTCAGTGGTGGTCTGGCATTGCTTTACGAATCGTCACTGCATTCAGAACTCGGACTCATTTTCCTCTTATAGTATTAAAATGTGATCCAAATGTGAATCTAATGTAAACCAATGTTCAAACACAAAGTGTTTTTGCATTTTTTAAGATAAGAATTTAATTTATTTCATGGATTCATCTCTCAGTCAAGAAATTGAGCCTTAATTTAAATATTTTTACATTTTTTATTTCAAACTCCATTCAATTAATAACATAACAATTTTCAATTATTCATCCATATTAAGTAATACTGTATAACCATTAGCACATAAATAACCATTATATTTCCCTATATACAGTATTACTATGTTTAGTTATATTTTAATATTTTATTTAATCATTTGAATAAATTTATTTCTTAATATTAAATAAATGCTTTCAATTTTAAAGTAACTAATCATTAATATTCAAAGGCGTAACTCTTTAGTTTAATTTACCATTATTAAACTATTATATTTGTAATTTAGTAGGGAATTAAAGACATTTGGATAAATATCTATTTGTTATATTAAATTAAACAATGTAACTCAAAAATTAACTTCGAATAAATACATTTTTATAACATTTTAAAAAACATTAAAAAAAATATAACAAATTTGTAAAATGGTTATAATTGATATTTATTAAATTATTTACTAATTGCTTTATACTGTAAATTGATAAATAAAAATTAATTAAAATGAATTACAAAATAATTTTAATATAATTCAACAACAAATGTACAAATTTCTAAAAATTAAAACAACATAAATATAGTATATATTTATATATAATTCTCTATAGTTTTTATATTAAATTAAAATCTCAATCTTTATTTGACTAATAAACCAATTTTATGATGATTTGAGCCGTATTTGAGTCGTCTATTCAACAATTTGAAGATTTTCTATAAAATAATTAAAAATATTTCATTAATTTAATATATTTTAATATTTATATTAAACAAATATAATAATAACAATAAACTAAATTGTTTCTAACATGTTTTAAAAGAGTATAACAATATTGATGTTTGTATTAATAGTTAATATTTTAATTGCAAAAAGTATTTTGTGAAAAGTATTCGCCAAAGGATTGTCTCCTAAAGATTTCAAGACACTATAAATGCTATAAAATTTTATTTCCAATATTATTATTAATCCAATTATTTTTTTTAACGCGTCTTTAATTTGCATTAATAAATTACTTATACCATAAACTGTAAGCACAATATTTATAATTTGGTCAACTAAACTAAATTATAAATTTATAGCTAAATCAACGTTTATAAAATAAGCTATATAAAAGTAAGTAGATTTGTTAATTTCAATAATTTCAATTTCAAATATAATTATATTTCAGTAATTACTATGATTTACAGTACATTTGTTGGAAATTATCATTCGTTTAAAATACATTTCATTATAAACTCAATCAATTAATTGATGTAATAATTAGTATTAGGAATTTTAGGAATCATAGATTATTTAGAAATTGGAATCGAGAGTAAAACTCAAATTCGAGTTAATATTACATGGTTATTCAATTCTCATATAATTATTATATATTTAAATGAATTAATAGACTGATTAAACTTATTTTTACAATTTTCTTTAAAAATGTTTGATTTAGAAATAATTTTCCAAAATAATAGGTTTTTCTGAAGTTTTGTCAAAATATGCGAAAATCAGGAAAATAAAAGTGATGCATTTTGAGCCAACTATACTATCAGTAATGTTTTATTGAGATGTGTTTTTATTAATTAATTAATATCAGGAATTGTCAAAGAATCGAGGCACTAACTATTATTAACTGTTATTAATACTAAAGTTCTCAAATAATAGTTTTACATAGTTCTCAAATAACCTTAATAAATAATATTTGTTTTCAATTTATATGATCAATTAAAAGAGTAGTTTACAAATGCATTAAATGCGATATTATGTGTTTAAAATTTTAAAAATTATTAAGGTAACCATGATCATGAATCATGATTATTGCATACTATACACTAGCACTGTATAAAAACTAGCATTAAAAGTGAGTCCTAAATGATTTGACAGAAATTAAATAAAATAATGCTGAAATATTGTACTGCATATTGATTTGAAAAGAAATTGAAACGATCTACAAATTAACTCATTTGAAATGACGATTAAAATACTGATGTCTTAATGTACTGATTGATGGCTGAGATAAGGGACTGATAAACGTTAAGAAAATCTTAAGATTACATAAACTCAGAAAAATGATTATTTTTGCGTGAATTAGAGTATAGGACAAGAATACTGCAGTGGAAGTAAGCTTTGATTATACACTACTAATGCTCTTATTCTGTAGTATTGTTTAAAAGAGAGGTATGTTTGGACCGTATTGTGAGAAGTGCTCAGACAGTTATCCCAAGACAGATAACTTAGTTTGCAATAAGTTTGGCGCCAATAGGGGTTCGGCACCTGTTCTCGAGGCACAGATATATATATTACTATGAATTTTGAATGGCTTTGGGTTTGTCTTCGACACTAAAAACACTTAAATATCATTCTATAATGACTTACCTTTTATTCTGTGAGTATTTATGGCATTAATGTCTTAATCACTTGATATCAACTTCTAATTAGTTTCAACCAAACGGTGAATAATAGAAATGTCAACATTTTATCCATCGACTGTCTCATAGCCGAAGACATAGATTTTTGTCCAATGATATCGATGTCGTTGTCTTCGATGTCGTCGACGGATAACAACAACTGTTTGCCGAAACAAAGTTTGTTTGTGTTATGTTTGATGCGCTGACACGGAAAGTCTTCACTGCCATCACAAACACATGTCTTCAATTTGGAGGCCTTTTCCTGACGATCCAGAATCGATAGACTGTTATTACATCTGGGAGTACAGCGCCGGCCGTCGAATAATCCGCGACAGAATCGGTGGTAAAAGTCGAGTGCAGTGCTGCAAACGGGATCAGCCAAACAGATCCAACGGGCGGTCGAACACGAAACGACGGCCCCTTCGGCCATAGCCTCGTAGACTGAGGTCCGGCACACTTCGATCCTCTCCTTATTGAGTTCACAAAACTTTGAACCCTCACAATCACAGTCTATGAGTTCCTGTCCCTCTTCAGTGCTGGTCAGAGCGATGAGCGCGCGCTGGCATTCCGGCTGACACTTGTTGGTCCGGCCGGCGATCAGGTCAGCGCAGTCAACCATATACCCGTGCAAACTGAACCCACAACCCATCCTATCATACATTGTATATTCAATTATATGATTCATAAAATGCATTACACTATACATATTATAAGCATAGATTATAACACTATAACTACCTGTAGGCGCATTTGGTTCGGGCGATATCACACCGGGAACAGTTGGCCCACTCTATCACCACCAATACAGCGGTCAACACATCAATCAGTTTAGTAAATAATGGTTTCATAATTTAAAATACTTTTCAAATTCTAATGCATAAAATTCATCAAAAACTTTTTGAAACTCATTTTCAATGAACCTTATGTTGAGCTAAGCTTTTGCTGGACTCGTTTCGCAATCATTACTCTCAAAGTGGACCTCAACTTAAAAGTTTGCGAATCTCTATATTTGAAAACTTATTCCTCTCCCAAGAAAGCCACTCCTCCTCTCCTCAAGACATGCCATCCCATTGCCATCCCTGACATCACTTCCATCTCTTGTTGTGATTTTTGGTTAAGAATACAGTAAGAACTCAATAATAAAACTTGTTTATAAAACTGTTTAATCAATTATCTCATTATTGGATTGTTTCCAAAACCACTCGTTATATAATTTATTATTATTAAAATTGTATTAAAAAGTGTTCATAAAGTTTAAAACAGAAATATTCACATAAAACACATATTTATTATAACTTAAGTGTTGAGATAAAGTGCACACAAAATAGTTGATACGTTTTGTTAGTACATAAATATATTTATATATCGATTTGTCACTCAATGTCACAAACATTTGTTATATTTTTATAAATTTTATTAACTTTTATAAACCAATTATGAATTTTATGGCAAATTCTTTGCATTTAAAGTGTTTACCGAGAGTTGTCTTCCGGAGACTCGATATCCAATTGAGTCGACAGTTAAGCATAAGTTGCGAACGAAAGGCTAAACTTTGTTCCGATGTCTTCGACGCCATCAAAGATATCAAAGACGGTTCCCGAATATTTGTGGGCGGCTTTGGTCTCTGCGGTATTCCCGAGAACTGCATCTCAGCTCTGGTCAAGACTGGAGTGAAGGACTTGACGTTAGTTAGCAATAACGCTGGCGTTGAGGACTTCGGTCTCGGATTATTGCTTCGGACTAAACAAGTGAAACGAATGATCTCTTCATATGTCGGCGAAAACAAAGAGTTCGCCAAACAATACCTGTCGGGAGAGCTGGAGCTCGAGTTCGTACCGCAGGGAACACTCGCCGAACGGATTCGGGCCAAAGCGGCCGGTATTCCGGCCTTCTTTACGCCCACCGGATACCAGACTTTGATTCATTTGGGCGGAACTCCTGTGAAATACAATTCTGACCAAACAGTTGCCATTCATAGCGCGCCTAAAGAGGAAAGGGTTTGTGACTATTAATTCTTGTTATGGGTTAAGCAAATCATTAACGAATAAATTTCAATTCACGTTAAAGTTTTTTAACGGAAAGCCATACGTAATGGAAGAGGCATTGAGTGCTGACTTTGCTTTAGTAAAGGCCTGGAAGGCTGACAGAGCCGGCAATCTTGTGTTCCGCAAGACTGCCTCCAACTTTAACCCCGCGATGTGCAGAGCGGCCGACTTCTCCATTGTGGAGGTCGAGGAGATTGTGGACATCGGAGACATACCTTCCGATCAAATACAAGTGCCGGCCATTTATGTCAACAACTTTTTTAAAGGAAAAGAATTTATTAAAAAAATTGAGAAAAGAGTTGTGAGGAAACCCCAAACTGAAGGACAAAAACAAAACACAACTATTGATGAAAAGAAGTTAAAAGCGATTCGTTTGAGAGAAGTAATCGCAAAAAGAGCTGCCCTTGAGTTGAAGGACGATATGTACGTCAACTTAGGCGTCGGTATTCCAGTTCTGGTCACTCAGTATTGTTCCGATAAAATACACTTTCACAGCGAAAACGGAATTATTGGTATTTTATAGACAACTTGTTAAACAAAATTGTTTATGATGTCTGTTGAATGCCAATCGACAGGTATGGGTCCGTATCCATTAGAACATGAAGTGGACGCCGACCTAATAAATGCGGGCAAAGAAACGGTGACAGAACTGCCCGGTTCCTCATTCTTTCCATCAGATGAATCGTTTGCTATCATACGCGGCGGACATTTGGACGTAACTATGTTGGGCGCGATGCAGGTCTTCATCGATCAAATTTATGAATACAAAATTATTAAGTTTTATCTTAATTTTGATGGCAGGTGTCAGGAGAGGGAGATTTGGCCAATTGGATGATACCCGGGAGTCTCGTCAAAGTAAACATTTTTAAACCAAATTCATTTATTCACTGATCATTAAAGTTAAAATTTGTTTGTAGGGTATAATTAGCGCATTTGTTAAACCATTTGTTACACTATAATAACTGATTGAAGGAATGGGTGGAGCAATGGATTTGGTGTTTTCGCACATTGCGGGCACTCGAGTGGTGGTGACGATGGAGCACAACAGCAAGAATGGCGAATCCAAGATCGTTGAGAACTGCTCTTTGCCGGTAACGGGACGTCATTGTGTGGATATGATAATCACCGAAAAGGCTGTCTTCCAAGTGAACAACGGACTCACTCTCATAGAAATCGCTGACGGAATCAGTTTAGAAGAGCTACAGAAGTGTACGGATTGTAAATTCAATGTATCGCCAGATTTAAAGCCAATTCAACAGATTTGTTGAGTTTAATTAAAAATGTAAAATAATATCATTTTAAATACTAATAATTATATTTATTTGGAATTTATGTAAATTCTAATACAAAATAAGTATACGAATAGAAGAGTGACTAAAGTGATCATCAGATCAATCATTTGATACACAAAACGTGTGCAAAATATTCTCCAAACCATCAAATCGTTTCTCATGAAAGTCGCAAACAATGAAACGCAAAATATCTTAAAATTTATTAATAATCAGTTAATTATATTTTAATATTTGTAAACTTACTGTTAATCCGTTTAAAAGTATATATTTTAATAAAGTATTTAACAATGTTTTCCAAAACAGTTGTCCATCACTTGTCAGGAATTGGGTTTTATTGTATTTAGTTCTTTGCGGAACAAATACCACCAATAATGGCAGTGATAATGAGCTCAATATTCGTGCGGAATATGTGTTTATAATAACCTAAGAATTTGAACAAAATTGTTATTTCTTATGGAAAAACATAATATTAAAAAAGTTGGTATATTTTACAGGAATAATAAAACTCCAGAAGTCTTTAGATTGAGTGACAAATGGGATGTCGTGTGGAATGGAATCAATTGAGTCGTAATGACCAGTAATGAAGAAGCCATGGGATGACAACATATACCATATTATTATTGGTATAACACTATCTTCTGAACCAATTTTATTCAATAATAATAAGTAAATTGCGGCGAATATGCAGAGCGTTATGAGACCTGAGTTTGACTTTTGTTCATTCAATACGAATAAGAGGTGCAAAACAGTGACCAATAAAAACAGTATCGAAATCACTAAATAATGGCCCAAATTTCTAACTGAATTAATTATATGAATATTTAGGTGAAATGTGCATAAAGTTATGATGAGTGAAACACTCAAATAAATGGCTATTTTGGCTAAAATAAGTTCATTTGATGGCAAATGCTTTTCTAAAATAGCCTTATGTGCCTGAGAAAGTAGCAAATGTCCAATAGTGCATGCACAATTCAACACAATTATGTATTTGCATATATAGTTGCATAGGTTAACACTTTCTGTCAATTGATTCATATTTAGTAAATAAATAGCAAACGAAACCACAAATACAAGAAATAATGTGCAAAACATAAAATTATTTAAATTGACTGCAAATAAATTGAGTTCAGAATAATGACAACTCATTTGTTGTTCGTGACATCGACTCTGATCTCTCGATATACGGATTATCAAAACCATTGATACACTCAATAAAACTAATAATTTGGGACTAATTTGTTGTCTAAACAAAGAATATTTGATAAAATTTAAATCAAATAAATATATTATAACCACTGTTTGAAAGGCATAGTAAACAAACGATTCTTCAAAAACAATCAATTGTTTTGAAAATAATATGAATGTTGTGGACATAAAAATCAATGAATACAATGCTTCCAACGATTTAAAATATCTCATTGTTTCTCTTAAAACAATGTTTAATCGTTTCGTTAAAATGATTTTTGTTAAGAATACGGAACCGATTGATACGACAATAGAAGTGACAGCACTTAAAAATAAGATATCATTAAAACTATTCTCGTGGAGAGGAAAGCCAACAACTCTTATAAGATTAGCAGTTATGGCACCCATTATTAAACCGATAAAGATTTTTGAACAAAAGTTTGATAAGTTTTGTTGTGAATGAATCCAATAAATGGATACAATGTTTGCAATACATGACAGACTAATGACAATAAGTCCACTAATCATAAGTCGGGAGTCAAAAGAGGCTAAATTCAAACTCAATTGTGTTTTCAAATGTGTTATATATTTGTCGTAATTATTACGAAGTTCTTTAAGTGATTGAATTGTTGCCAATTTATCATCACTTGGGATGTGATTCAAGAGAACCCAACTTCTGTCATGACTTTCCAACAATTCCTCTAATTGTGTTTGAATTACATTCGGAACCAGAGATGACACGTATCGCTGAATTTGGGCCACATTTATACGAAGAGCTGATATACTGGTCCACAGGTGTTGTATCTCCGGTATGTCTTCATGACACGCAAATTCTGGCGATCGCTTCACGTGTTGGCAATCTATCGAGTATTCAAACAAAGAACTCATCACTTTTCCCACATTAGAGAACGGTATCGGAGTTCCCATAAGTAGTGAAAGGGTTGGCACCAAATCTATTTTATTCACATCCATTGATGGACTCTGAAATCAATTGGATTCCTATATTTGTTCACATTCTCCATATCTCTGTATATATCAAATCATACCTCAAATGATGACATTTGTTGAGCACTGAATGTCATAATAAACGAAGAGCTCGTTTCGTGGCATTTGTCAGATATAACAAATAAAATAGTTTTGTTATCCCTCTCTAAGAATGACATAATTGTCTCTAACATTGCATTAGTTTGTATCGATTGGTTGATTGTCTTCGGATGACTAGAGCCATACAAGTGATGAAAGTGACTGATTAGTGGCAAATCCGAAATAATCAAATCCCAATCATCGGACTTAATCTCCTCAACGAGTTGTGAGTTTGAGTCAAACGTCTGTATAATTAAAATGTAATCAATAAAAACAAATGACACTAATATTACGTGTCTATTGGACTCACTTCTGGATCGGAACCAAAATAAATAGTTTTATGAAATAAATGTTTAGCAAAAGAGTTTTCAACGGATTTGTGTGCCATTAATGTAATTCGTTTAGATTTACTGTTCAACTGATGAATCAAATTATCTTCAATTATATCATTGGGTTTGAAATGAGTGTTAATCTTGAGAAATGTCTGCAAACTTCCGGTTGTGATCGACTCCAGAGTTTGTAACCTCGAGAGCGAAGGCGTCCTTAAGAGTCGATACACTTTCGACTGATTCTCGTATTTATTGAACAATTTATTGATTGGATTTGAATCCGAATTAGTTTTGCCTTCAAATAAATGCAAATCATAAGAGAGACCATCGATGAGGAGGACTATAGCCCTGTCGTATCTGTTGTCAAAACCACATCCAGGCGTACGACTTCTAACACCAGAAGAAGACAATGAATGGTTGAGCGGCTCTTCGCAGGAGCTCTTCCGATGGATGGCCTTTCGGGTCAATACAAAACCGGTGCAGAAAAGCCAAACACCGATCGTATAAACCAAACAAATCCATAATAAAAGCACTGAATTATATATAATATATATCTTTTGGTTCATCTCTTAATTCATGTCTTCATATCATTTGTATTCAAAACTTTTCAAAACAATTCAAAACCAAAAGTTTTTTACTCTTAAATCACAACAAAATGAGAAAACATTGAAAACACGTGACATTCAAAACGCATGCGTTTTCTATGCATTTGTTTACACTTTTTGATTATTTTTTGTAATAAAATTTTGTTGACATTAAATGTGAAATATTTGGTTAAAATGATTGGCAATCGGTTTATAAGTGTTTTGCCGAAGAGGTGTCACATATTGTGGTGTTTGAGAGACAAAAGCACTGATAAAGCGCTGATATGTCGGCGCCTGTCGTCACAGCAATCGTCGGACAATTTGGTGGTAAATGTGACGAAACGGAAGCGAAATGTGATGTCAGGCAAAGAGCACATGAATATCGGGACAATAGGACACGTGGATCACGGGAAGACCACTTTGACCTCAGCCCTCACCAAAGTGTGCGCCGACAACGGCTTCTCCCGATACGTGTCCTAACGTGTCCTTCGATGACATCGATAAGGCTCCGGAGGAACAGCTCAGAGGTGTGACCATCAATGCCTCGCACGTGGAGTACGCGACCAAAAGCAGACATTACGCGCACACGGATTGTCCCGGACATCGAGATTACGTGAAGAATATGATTTGCGGCACTTCCCAAATGGATGGCGCCGTTCTCGTGGTCGCCGGCAGTGAAGGACAAATGCCTCAAACCAGAGAGCATCTCATGCTTAGCCGACAGATCGGTGTCAAAAAGATTGTGGTTTATGTCAACAAATGTGATCTCGTGGACAATGAGATGAAGGAATTGGTTGAACTCGAAGTCCGCGATCTTCTAAATAATTATGGTATTTATACACAATATTGACATTTATCTTGATATAGATTTAGTAGTGATTTGATGACTAATGATGGTTACAATGGTTCCAATAGGGTTCGAAGGCGACACAACACCGTTTGTCTTTGGATCAGCACTGATGGCACTCAGCGGCGATAAATCAGAATTAGGAGAGAAATCCATTTTAAAACTCTTAGAAACGCTCGACACTTATCTAACGGTTCCCGAAAGAGACACAAACTCAGCGTTTTTGATGCCAATAGAGTCGGCGATTGTGATCACTGGGAGGGGAACTGTTTGTGTGGGAACTGTAGAGAAAGGGTCTATAAGTAGAGGCGATCCGATTGAGTTAATCGGTTGGAATGAAGTGATCAAAAGTGCCGCAACCGATATACATATGTTCGGTATTAACCGTAATATTTAAATAATTATTCAATTATAAAATAATGATCTCAATTATAGGCCGTTCTGTTGCCAGTTGTGAGGCCGGAGATCACGTCGGACTTCTCTGCAGAGGTTTGTCTCAATGTTTGAAACATTGCATATGTTTTGAATTGTCATAATTTGTAAATTGTAATCACATTTACCGGTAATACTATTTCAGGAGTAAAATCTTCGGGTGTGAAGATAGAGAGGGGAATGTATGCCAGTAAACCGGCCTCTCTTTCGCTCAACAATCGATTTGAAGCCAATTTATATTTGATACCCGCGGGAGAGGGCGGTCGGGCAAAGCCTATATCTCAACGATTTATTCAACAGATATTTAGCCGTACGTGGAGTGGAGGCGCGCGGCTCGACGTGCCCTCAGAGGAAGGCGGCATTCTTATGCCCGGAGACCATTCAAAAGTACATTTGACACTTCAATTCGGTATGCATATGAATATCGGACAGTCATTCACCATAAGGGAACATTCCCGCACTATCGCGTCCGGAATTATTACCAAACACTTGGGCACTATTCCTGTGCCTAAAAATCTGGGTGTTTTGCAACTATAGTAAGAACTACTGGATATAAAATAATTATATAATTAAGAATTAAGATATAGTACTGATGACTGAGTTTGTAATTAATTTAAGTCTTTATCAAATCTGTGTTCCGGTGTTTAATTGCTACTGTTTAATTATCAACAAATTGTTTACAAAATGTGTGAAATTAATGTAAAATTGTAATAATCTTTAATACATTTTCATTTAAAAAGTAGTTTAAAGTGATGTGAAGGAGTGATTGCAAACAAATTGTTTAATAC